TTTTTACAGTTTAATTATACATTTAAATACTGAGTAATATTGATTAACTACATGCACTTACTATATGGTTAAGGTTAGGATTAGGGTTTGTCTTAGGGTTACTTGCATGTAATTATGCATCATTTACTGTTATTATAATAGTAAGTGCATGTAACGTGTAACAAGGACACCTGAATGTGTTACCCTGAAGACATCTGCAGATAAATAGCCTACAATGGAATTACATGAGTTCTAAAGACATTACGAACACAACATCACAACATTGTGATAGCGAGTATAATAGGCCTATCGTATTTAGCTACATCACTGACACATACAACGACAAAGTCCTTTTTTCCTTTTTTGCACACATTTATCCGATCATCCTCCTCGCAGACGGAGAGTCATGTGAATGGTGCTTCTTGAGGTGATGTCGTACTCCTGCAACTTTCTGCCAGACTCCAGCTGTCTCCCGTTGAAAATCAGTCTGAGCTGGTCCACGGGGACTCTCTCTTTGCGGTTGATCTTAGCCAGGAGCTGATCTACGGTCTCGTTGACATCAACATCATACGTCTTGGTCTGGCCCTGCTCATTCCTGACGAACACTTGGAAAGGTCCGGGGTTGGTGATGAGCAGACTGACCACTGATCCAGAGTGCAACCCGTAGCTGCTGAGGGTTCGAGACTCATCCTCGAGGCTGATACGAGAACCGTTCTCGGCAGACAGCTTCTGTTTGTAAGGAGGCTCTCTGAAGATCTGAGAAATGAGTTTCTTCAGTTCGCCAACTGTGGCTTCACCGCTCACTTCCAGACGCTTCACTTCTCCGCCCAGCAGTCTTATTGTCAGTTCCATCACCTTTCAAATGAGATCAAATATACAATAATTAAAACTTGACAACTGCAGCACCATTTAGTTACTTAAAACTGGAGATTAGAGTTAATATCAATGCTCAATATTTTCATAGGTATGCAGCTTACCTGGCTGGCTGTTCAAAAGCTTCGCTGAATATGGCTGGATGTTTTCTTCAGTAAGTCTTGTAAGTCGCACTGAATTCAAGTAATGTGCCTCTGGTTACAGAGAGCAGAGATATGAATATATAAAGCGTCAGCTCAAGCCCCGCCTCAAAACAATTTTCCTTTCCAAAAACTTGCTCAGTCACTTTCGCTTTCCATTCTCACCAAATCGCTGATGTAAGTCCTGTTCTAGTAACCCTCAGAGAACTTTCTTACTTGGATGCATGGACAAACAAACAAACAAACAAACAAACATGTTAAATAAATGTAACAAACAATAAAAAATAAAACTGCAGGAACCATATGAATGCTCGGGGAACGTTCTGTTTTTGTATCTTAGCTGTCCCATATTTGTTTTCTGTAATCTACATTAAAAGCAGCCTATAGTTTATTGGCCCAGGCTGTTTATAGTTATAGTTATACTGTTATAAACTGTCCTTTCCTTTCCTTCCTTCCTAGTTTATCTACCTCAAACATCTAAATTAACTTTCAAAAATAAATGTAACAAAATAATGAATTAGTCATCTACTTGAGAGTTTCATTCACACATAACAGCAAATCAGAGATCATTGGAATGTGAAAATGTTCCACCTGGTGATTGAGGAAATCCAGGTAAAGTGAAGCACGTCATATAGAGCGAATACACCTCCATGAGTGACTACACTGCAGTTCATGGTCACAGTTTTGTTTTCTGTTCTGGTGTTGTTTGCTGGTAATTATGCCTGCTGTCCATTATTGCCTACTATGATACAGTTACAGTCCGACCAGTCCAATCTTGTTTATGTACTATTTATAGTATGAACAGTGTTTGTGTTTATTGCCCAGGATGAACTTATCCTTCACTAAATATTCTGAAGACACTTTTGAAGTTAAAGCAGTCATACTGTAAAAACAATTCCATAAAATTTACGGTAAAAAACGGCAGCTGTGGTTGCCAGAATTTTACCATAAAAAATAAGGTAGCAACGTTTTAGGTTTTAACTTAAATTTACAGTTAAATACC